TAAGATTTGTAATTGGTTGGGGAAATATTGAAAACCATATAAATATCTCATTCTGCATCAAAATTTTATCCACAGTTTTAGAATGGACTGCTGAATTTTTCTTTAATCAGCTAGTACCTTGCTAGGGGAACAGTGGTGATATTTTACATGCATTCTTTAAATTCTTTAAATCTATCCCCCCACATTATTAGTCCCCATATGACTGTTGGCTTGGATATACCCCAGACTCCATCCCCATGATTTACTCCATTTTCCCAAGGAAGTTTAGGCTACATCCCCTGCCCACCCCATATGGATCAAGTTTTTAAAACCTGTACTGTGAATGAATTTTGATAAAATCATTTCTCGCATTCAAGCAGGGATTTGGACAAAGGGCAACTCTTGCTGGAGCTTACAGACCTTTCTCCCAGGAGGAAGTACAGTCATATCTTTGGGGTGAAAAAGCCAGGCCCTAGCGAACCCTGAAGCTCCCTCCCCTGGTGTTATCGCCTCCATTTCTTGCCTGCAGTCTTAGTTATGGGCTACTCTTTCTCCACTGGAACTTGCATCATCATTGTCAATGATTTAGACAAGAGATTCTTCCAAGAATCATATCCCTTCTGATCATCTCACCATGTATTAATTCTACGTTATTGTTTTTAGGATTTTCCGTTTCATTCCTCTTCTCCCGGAAAATTGTTAATTAGGTCCTCCAACTGCAGATACAATTTTGAAGGAAAAAAAAAAATCCTAGTACATTTCAGCTTTCCGCTATGAACGCTCTCTCTCACTTGCTGGCCGCGTGGCCTAATGGATAAGGCGTCTGATTCCGGATCAGAAGATTGAGGGTTCGAGTCCCTTCGTGGTCGTGGGCTTCTTATTTTCCCCAGAAACGGAAACACCTTTTACTTCAAAGTCTGCCCCTTGAAAAGTCACTGGAAACCTCCAGGGCCTGAAAAAAACGTGGCAGAGAGAGATGCAGGAGGTCGAGCACTCTCTTCCTTGGAGTCTGCCACATCTTCTCTGCCCAACTCCAATTCTCCGCCTCCACTGCCCTTTTTTTCTCTCCGACTTCTGCTTTTCTCCCCGACATCTGCTTCGCCCCTCTGCCAGCCAAGAGCTAGGGCACCCTCCCCTGCACCTTCTCCTCCTGTCTCCTCAGCTCTTCCAGTTGCCAGTTTAGTAACCAACTAACCTTTCCTGGCACCTTTACCCCCACCCGGCCCCGCACACCACCCTGCCAGAGGGTCTAGGATTGTCTCCACAACTTCTATCTAGCTTAACAGTCGCACTCAAGGTCGCCTAGGACCCGGGTGCTGTGCGCCTCCGGAACTACGAAATTGGTGGACAGTTCAGGCCCCCGAGGGCTCACACGAGCGAGCGCGCTTCGCACCCGCGGCCCTCGATGCGCAAACCTGTGGGTGTGCAAGAGACCCTGTAACAACAGGAGCGCGTCGGTTTCTCTTCTGTCTTCGGCCTTCCGCGTTTTGTCTTGGAAACCAGAGCTAGACCCACAGTCGCGTTTCCCAATCCAGATGCTGGGTGCGGCGGTGTGCAAAGCAAACTCTGAGTTGCAAATACGCGCCGCGAAGGCACAAATCTGTCCTCCGTCCCCAGTCCTGCATCTGTCTCCTCCAAGTCGCTCTCCCCCAACGCCTCTCTGTCCCGACACCACCTTCTGAGTCCTCTTGGTAGCTGCTTTACAAACAGAGGAGGACTTTTTTTTTTTTTTTAGAAGAAGAATCTGAAGACATAATAGAAAATTCAATCCCGGGACTTTGCCTGCTGGTGGACGGGACTTGACTTAAAGGGAGTTGGCTCCAAACCATTCTTGAAGGCAAGGACAGCAGGAAGATGCATGGGTCCTTCGGTCCCGAGTGCAGGTCCTCTGGCACGACTCTGAGACGGGGTTCAGTCCAGCAGCTTCTGAAATGGAAATCGAGCTTAGTGAACTTTAACTTACTCCCATAATCAGACCACGCAATAAATAAATACATAAAGCCAACTGGTTTCCACCCCTGCCCCCCTCCCACACACCTGAGGGGGTGTAGCTCAGTGGTAGAGCACATGCTTAGCATGCGCGAGGCCCTGGGTTCAATCCCCAGTACCTCTAGGTCTCTAACCTCCTTTGCAGGCTGCTGTTTGAGTCTCCATCAATGGTTCTTTCTCCTTTGCTGCAGTTGGTCCTTGTTATTGGAAGCAGTTACAAAAATGACAGAAAGAAAAGGAGGGGGGTACCGAGACCGAGACCACGTGAAGTCCCCCAACTCTTTTCCTCCTTAGCTGGAGCTGTGTCAGCTGACAATCTGCAGGCTCTGCAGGAAATTTTCCTTTCCCCATTCACCTCCCAATCTTGGTTGGGCAGAGGCAAGAACTATTTCTCGCTGAGGGAATTTGGGCTACTGTCCAAAGGAGAGACTTCTCCAGAAACACAGATTCTTCCCAAATCCAGAGTTGAAAAAAAGTATTTCCCGAGATGGAATGGCTCTCAAAGTCATTGACAACCTTGGGCAAAAAGGGATGCATCTTCCTGGAAGAGGAAAGTCTTTTGCGTCCACTTCCTTTAGGAGGAAGAGAACCTTCTGGTTTCCTGCATCCCTGGAGATGGAGGCAAGTGGGGCACAATACCTCCCGGGACCACCAGATCCAGTACTCCCAAGCCCTCCTGCACCCCTTCCTCCTCAGCACCGCAGCCTCCAGCCTACTCCTATATTCCCCACCATTGTCGTCACCTCACTTCACTTTTCCTCCCCCTTTTCATCCCATTCCACCGCTTCTGCCTGTCGCAAAAATGTCCCCAGCAACACAGCTCACTCAGGTCATGCAGCTCCACTCTCTAGATTAGCAATTCTCAAACCTGGAGGATAAGCAAATTCATCTGGGGAGACATTTCAGTCCTGTAGATCCTCCCCCGCACCTCCAAGCTCCCATTCCAGGATCCTCAGTGTGCTCAGCTCAAGGTGGACTTGGGAAGACACAGAAAGTTCCCAGATGGCCCCTCAGTTCCAAAACCACAGAAAGGTTTTAAACTTTTATCTCTGTATTACAGGACCGCTTCTGGCCGACTGTTTATTTGCCAAATGACTGGCTTCTAAGAACCCATCTGAGTCCAACTGAGCCTGATTTGATTACTTGAGGGAGGGCAGGAGCATTTCCTGGGGCTGGGGAGGAAACCAAGAGTTAAGAGACTTTATTCCAAAATTCAGGGAAGTACAACTCTCACAAGGAACTTGTTTTCTGAGAAAAAAAATCAGAATAAAAGTTAAGAGACATAATGGTCTAGAATTACTTTGAAAACTCACATTTGGTTACCACAAATATTGGCAACAAGAGGAAAACATCTATTCTTTACTCCTCTGTGAAGGCTCAGATGTGATCATCTGTCCAGGAGTTGGGGACTGGGTTTGTTACTGAAATTCCTTCATAGCTCTGCCCCCACAAATCTTGTGCATGAGCTTGCTGCCTTGTGCACAAGCTTGCTGTCTTTGTTAGCCTCAGTTCTGAAATAACCGAGGCAGCCTCTTGACAGTCACTTCCTGGCAGGAGGTCGCCTAGTGGGGGCCCCGGTTGGCACCTCTGTGACTTGTCTGGTTAAAGCCCCTGTCCTGGGTTTGCATTCTAGAGGGGCATGAGCTTGAGCCTGACCCCTGCTCCCTCCTCCCCGGATGTTGGAGGAACAGGGAGGAGCATGTTGTAGTTTCTCCAAAGTAAGCAAATTCAGTGTCATCTTTTAAATGTTGACTCACATTAAAAAACTCCTTTTCTGGGCCTCCCTGTGGCTCAAGGGATTAAGACACAACCTATGAAGCAAGCCACAGCCACTGCAGCATGAGTTTGATTCCTGGCCAGGGAGCTACCCACATGGTGCAGCAGACCTCGCCTGTCTCTTCGCTGCTCCCCTCAGCAGTGTATTTCAGTCAATCTGCCTGTTCTGTTCCCCACTCTGTCTCTGGTGGATCCTCCCACCCCCCACACCTCTGGCCTGTACCCCAGTTCTTGTATGCATAAATAAATAAATCTTTAAAATTAAAAAAACTCCTTTTCTAGTACAAAAGGTAGCATGCAAAGGCTTTGGCAAAGAAAGTGATTTTGTTATTCGCCCAACACCTCACTTGCCCAGAACACAAAGCACGGAGCAAGGACATTGTCATTTGCACTCATTTTTTAGTGGGTGTGCACAGGTATGTCTTTCCAGCAGAAGCAACTGAGATCTGTTCTGATTCCCACTTAAACAGGCTTGACCACACCTTTCTCTGGGGCTTTAGTGTGGTGTTACATGAGGTGTCATCAATTCATTCCAATATTTCAGAACAGCCACAAAAGGGAAGTTCAACAATGACATGTGGACAGTAAAGCATTTAAACCCCCTATTTACCAATGTTCCTGAGATTGTCCTTGGCCTAGTGTCTGAGTTGAGGGGATAGTGGAGACTGATGAATGTCTTCTGGTATGTATTTTCAGTAAACTCCCTGTGAACGCCTATTTAATATGGAATTAAAAAGTGTCCTGCCCAACCCAGGACCTAAGCTTTAATATCTGCTGGTGGATTGCTCCTCCATCTAAGCTAGTCAGCCGTTGTCAGCAGGCGCTCTTCATTCTTCCAAATGAATCCTCCACATGCCAAGCTTTGAGTCACTTTATGTTTGTCCAACTTCTGCCCCCTCAATCACCAAGGAAACCTTGGGACCTAGCGACCACCCTCTGTTGCTTTCAGCCATTCTCAGAGGCCAAGGCTCCAGGAGGGATACAGGGGCTGGGGAGAGATGGTTAAGGAAGCCTTAATTTAAAATTAAAAGATGTAATTTAAAAAATGAATAGGTAGAAGCTGGAGAGTGAAATCCTGTGTCTTTCTTGCTCCTTATTTTTCTTTATGAGAAAGCCAGTGTCTTTGCGTGGCACCAATGCCCACGGAGCAAAAGGGTAATAATACTGGAGGCAACTTTCTTTCTTTCTTTTTTTTTTTTTTTTTATGGGAGCAGGAAAAATGCAACGAAGTGTGTTGAAACTGGGCAAAACGCCGCTGGAGGAGCCGGGGGTTGAATCCCGGGCCTCGCACATGTGAAGCACGCGCTCTACCATTGAGCTACACCCCCTGCAACAGGAGGTCGTTTGGGGATCCGCTATAAAGAGATACTTTTGTTTCCAGATTTTTGGATTTTCTGGTGGTTGGAGAAAGTCCCCTGGGTTAAATTCCACCCTCGAAAGTTACTAGACTGCTATTGTCTGGCGACATCACTAAGATTCCTGTCCTACCGATACCGTTTCTGATCCCAGGGCTCCCCTACTCTGTGTGTCTTCTCTAAGGTCCACTCACAGGTGGACTACGTGCACAGAGCTTGTCTTCTCCCTGGGGAATCACAGGTTCCCAGCACTAGTGTCCAGCAGTGCTGGCTCAAATGCAGAGCTCCTCGGTCCAGAGGCAGCCGCCGACTTTTAGTGCAAGTGGAAGTGGACTAGCGCCCGCGCCCAGGGGAGGGGGACCCCCGCCAACACCCTGTTTCCAGCCCATTGTTCACTCCCGCACCTCCCACACCCTGAGGTTGGGCTCCATTCTTTTTTTTTTTTTTAATCATCTGGGCCTTTTATTTTATTTTTTTAAGATTTTATTTATTTATACAAGAGCTGGGGTATAGGCCAGAGGCACAGGAGGGTGAGAAGATTCACCAGAGACAGAGTGGGGAGCAGAACAGGCAGACTGACTGAAGTACACTGCTGAGGGGAGCAACAGACGAGACAGGAGAGGTCTGCAGCACCATGTGGGTATCTCCCTGGCCCACCGGGAATCAAACTTATGCTGCAGAAGCTGCAGACAGCTTCACAGCACTGAGCTCAACCCACTGCACCACCAGGGAGGCCCTGGGCTCCATTCTTGTTCCGCACCCCCAACCTATCCATCACTATCCCTTCCTTGAGGTTTATGCCTGCGAAGGATTTTGAAATAGAAGCTAAATAGTTAAATTGGTCTTTGACCCTAAAATACAAAAGGGAGGGAGAGAAAATTCATGTAGACTCCCCCCCCACCCCCCACACTTGCTTTTACAGCAAAGACTGGAGGCTTAAGGACAGCAGACCTCCAAGGGGAGCTGGGGACTGAGATGACGGAGGGAAAGGTGGGTACCCAGGGGCTGGGGTGTACCACAGAAATGAAAAACTCCACTTGTCTGAACCCAAGCGTCTTCACACTCCCCATAGGATGTGACCCGAGACTGGCAGATGAACTTCAGCTGAATCCACATGACTTTGCCCCAGCCCGCTTTTCAGTCAATAAAATTTAACTCCTTTTTCCTCAATCCTGGTCCCCTAAGGCTGTATAGCTCCTTTTCTTTCTATTTAATAGGGAAGGCAGATTTGAGTTTATCTCCTAATTCCTTGTGAGGTGATTGGCCAATAAAGCTGATTTCTTTTCTCAAATTTAACTGATGTCATTATCTGATCTTGCTCAGTAACAATTTCAGAAAAAAAATGACCTTCAAAATTCCACCAACTTTTGAAGAACTGACATTTTCCCAGACGACAACCTTTAAATGGAGGTAACATTAGGATCTTCCCCACTAGGTATCTCCACCTTAGTGCATCCACCGCCGAATCTCCCATAGTCCTCCACAATGGTCCTTTTGAGCATCCGTCCCTCTGTTCCTAGCCAGTAACTGTCTCACCCTATAATTGCTTTTTAATTGATGCAATACCCTCTTTGAATCTCACCTTAATGATACTGAGTTGACATAAGAGCTGGTGAATTTACTTAACTTGGACCAAAGTCATTCTGAAAGTGGTGTGTATTTGCTTCAAAGTCAGGTCAAGCATTCCCAAAAAAATGGACTACTTTTGTCTTTGTGGACACCAATATTAAAGGAAAATAATTCTTTGGTATCTGATTGTTCTAGCAAAAATTTTAAACATGTTTAAAACAAAATAAGTACATAAACCTATTAATCTGTAACTTTAATAAAATCAAAGTATAGTCCAATTTTCTCTGATAAATATTTAGCATCTGAATTGAGATGTGCTGTAAGTGTAAAATGTATACTAAATTACAAAGATTTGATATGAAAAAGTAAAATATCTTAATAAATTTTAAAATATTGATTACAAGTTGTAATAATATTTTGGGTATATTGGTATCAGTAAAATGTTATTAAAATTAATTTCACCTCTTGCCTTTTGATTTCTAAAGTGTGCCTTCTAGGAATTTTCCATTGTATCTATGGCTCACACTACATTCCTATCAGCATAATGAAATGTCTTCAGTTTGACTAGATTTCAAGAAATACACTTGTTTGAAGTGGTGTGGCTCAATTTGTGGTGGCTCAGTCTTCTAATGTGAGATTTAAGAGTTTAAGTTCAAGTGCTGCTGGAGAATCAGTTTTCCTTTCCCCTACATTATTTCTGTCTTTTATACAAAAGCCAAATGGAAACTGACTCCTTCTAGAAAAGTCTTTAGAGGAACATTGGTGTATTCCCCACTTTTCACATTCTGGTCTTTGTTCCACTGATTTCTGAAAAACAAAACATGGGGAGGTGGGAGCAAATTCAAGGTTGCAACAGAACGAGAATACTATAAATTTATAAAAATCCAGTATTTTCCCTCTATCCTATACAGGCAGGAAGGCAACCTTGGAAGTTCTGTCAAGGATCAGTTAGATAAGTAAAACAGTGAATTTGCTTCTCATCAGAGGCAATTTGATGGAACAGGTAGGATGACACAGGAGCTGGGCTTCTGTGAAGTTTAGTACTTAGTTGATTGAATATGCAGATGGTGATGGCTTGCACACAGCTAGCAAATACAAAAGTGAGAATTCCTTCATTTTCTTTTGTTATAGTTAATGATTTCTTGGTTTATTTTTGTTTTGGTGGTCATGAAATGGGACAGTAACATGAAGAAGTTGACATTTTAGATGTCTATAAGAGACCCTCTTGAGCACATCTGTCTAAGCACATTCTAACCTCAGTCTGGAATTCTGGAGACTTCTCTGCACATTGGAGGGAGGGGGAAAAAAACCTTTGGAGGTGCTGGGTATCGAACCCAGGACCTCATACATGCAAAGCATGCGCTCTACCACTGAGCTACACCCCCAGACTGTGGGTGAACCTTTAGTGATATATTGAGAAATAAGCTCATTTTCTTTTTCTTTTGGAAAGGTTTAACTCTTGATCAGAAAATTCATTATGTTAAGGCCACCCTTTCTACAATTTTGCTCTCTGAACTTTTTTTTCTTTTATTTATTTATTTATTTATTTATTATTCATGCAAGCACTGGGTACAGTCAGAAGCACTGGAAGGTGAACGAATTCACCAGAGCCAGAGCGGGGAGCAGAGCAGACAGAAGGACCGAAGTACACTGCTGAGGGGAGCAGCGGGTGGCAGGAGAGGTCTGCGCACCATGTGGGACCCTCCTCCTGTGGCCGGGGAGCAGCCGGGGATTGAACTGGCGCTGCAGAGACCGCGGGCAGCTTCGCAACCCAGCACTCAACCGCTGCGCCACCGGGGAGGCCCTGAACTTTTTTTTCTTAATGGTTGTGCTCAAAAATAGAAACTGAATTCTAAACCCAAATTCCCTGCTTTGTCCTCTCCAAAGATCTTCTCACTGCAGAATGCCTATTTCTTTTCTTTTAACTCTTCTGAATTACATTCCCAAAAAGTGCCAGGATGGAAATATATCTTTCCTTCATTCCTTTCTCTGTACAGTTTCTTTTTCCTCCCATGGGTCTTTCTTCCTAACAATCTTCATTAATCATCTGGTCTGTACTCACTCAAGCACCTCTGATTTTCCACAGTTAACCCCTTGCTTCACATTCTACAATAAACCTTGTTTTACTCACCAGCCATCTAGAATCCTCCCCTAGAAAACTGAGGGAGAACCTTGACATCCTGTGTGCAAAATAAAAATCATTATCTCTTATTGCTAATCATGTTGCTTTCCATCCATTCAATATCTTGAGATATGCCTTCATCCAACAGCTAGTTGGCAAGTCAAGAAAATAGAAAAGGGAGAGATAAGAGAGAAGAAAATATCTATGGATTCAACTCCCTCCTCCTTGCCTCTCTATTCCTAACCAAGTAGTGGCTTACTTATTGTCACTATAGATGAGTTGAATTTTCTAAACTCATTTTCTAAACTTTTGATCTTGCAGCTTTCATTCATCATAATATTTTAAGATTTGGCCATGTTGTATGTGTCAATAGTTCATTTTGTGCTGGGTAATATTCCAATGTCTACAGGATATACAATTTTTTATCCATTCAGCTATTAATAGACATTTGGGTACAGTTGTTGGTTTTTACAAAGAAATAGTTATGAACATTTGTCTACAAAATTTTGTATCAACATGCAGCTCCTTTTCTTTGAGGTAAATACTTGGCAGTTAATGGTTGGATCACAAGATTAGTATACATTTGACTTCTTAAGAAATGGCTAAATTCATTTGAGGTTATACTGTTTTCCACTACTGCCAGCAGAGTATGAGTTTCTTTTCCTCTGCATTCTTGCCAACACTTGGTATGGTTAGTCTTTTTACATATTAGCCCCTCTGGCAGTTGTGCAGTGGTGTACCATTATAGTTATAATTTCTATTTTGCTAATGACTAATGATGTTGAACATCTTTGAATTATTTACCACTCTTATATGTTCTTTGATGAAATATCAGCTTAAATATTTTGTCGATATTTAAAATGGATTTTTTAATTGTTGAATTTTGAAAGCTATATATTCTAGTTGCAAATTCTCTATCAGACAGATGCCTTGCAAAGATAGTCTTTCATGCTGTGGCTTGTCTTCACTCTCTGCAACACATTTTTCACAAAGTAGGTTTAGATTTTTGAAAAATTCTAAAGTTGGGGGATGGAGGAAGGCTAATAGTAGGGAAAAACTGCTGAACTTTAAGGAAAATAGCAAGACTTCTATTATTAGAGGAATGATCAAAACCTCAGGTAAGGACTCCAGCAAGGCCTCGCTGGGATTTGAACCCAGGATCTCCTGTTTACTAGACAGGCGCTTTAACCAACTAAGCCACGAAGCCAACAAAAAGTTGTGATCTGTTTTCATTTTTAAGGTTGAGAAAAAAAATAAAATGAATGCTAATCCTTTGAGATAT